AATGTTGTCTCCAAGCGACTGCTCTTCATAATTTATGATCTCACTGATGCACTTATATCAGAAACTTTTCCACCTTCACTTGTTGATGAAAAGGACTAACTTTTGAAAGCTTTCCTTGTTCACCTTCACTGCCACGTGCTGCCTTTCTCACGGCGTCGAAGCTTTTACTGAAGGTGAACCTGACAGCCTGGATTTATTGTGCACTGGAAACGGTTCCATCTGCTGTCAGTGAAATCAAACATTGCATGCCTTCAGCAATCCAATAACTTCCTCCGTGGTGGAGATGCTTATCATCGTTTGCTGTGATTTCTCTGCTCTGCTCCTGTCGGCCCTGTACATGAGGGGAGAACACAAATCTTTATGTTTGTGGAGGAAACATCTCAGGTTTTCAATGTTCTTGAAACATGAACGACATGAACAGCTTTTCATGTCGTTAAAGCGACATGAAACGTAATGTACATTAACGTTGCAACGTTTCGTGCTACATAGCAAGGTTACGTTAATTCAAACACAAGTGCACTCTGTTGTTAAATTTTATTAGACATTTTGTCGCCTGCAGCTAAATAATTGTGTGAAATAGCTCAACAACAGAGGAGGATGTCATGTTCTTTTGTAATTTGTCAAGAAAAATGGATCTTGGAAATTTTAAGATTGGAATTGAAAGCCAAGGGTAAAGCGCTAACTACCCTTTCAAATATGAAGCAAATGTTCTATTTACCTGTCAATGTGCAGACCACCCAACCTCACGGACGCACTGCGGCACTCTTGACCATGTCAAAAGATGCTGCAGGTATACTCTCTTTCATTTCCATTCTGATGGTGCTCCCGTCAGCCGATCGGGCAGCATTGCATGAGGTTTATTGTTTTGCTGATGTTCAGCTATTTTTATCTGTGAAGCTCAATTACTTTAATCACCTCATCAGACTGCAACTGTGTCTTAAAGGCAGAAGTCTGTCAGACGTTTAATATTCTGCTTTTAAATTCAGAGGAGAGAGCCTGTTGTCTTTTGACCTGAGAAGGAAGCAGGAAAACGAGCTCCTGCGTGCGTCACCTCCAGGCTTGACTGATGTAATTTTTTTATTTTGTGTGTCCAAAAAATATTTAAAAATACATTCTGGTTGGCTGGACATTTTCTTACCCTCATTAAGAATGACATATGTACAGCTAATGAGAGAATGTGCAAGACAGAAGCAGTTCTTGACTTGTCCGGGTTCACATGAAGGGGACTGAGGGAATTTATTTAGAGTTCAAAAATTGAGAAGGCAAAGGGGGGCGACTGGTGGCTTCCTGTGGCTTGTGACTGAAGGCAGGCATTGGAGGGGCAAGTCAGGCCCTCGTGTTGCAAGGACCAAGGAGTTGTTCAAGAGGTGAGTTCGGGGAACGCCAGAGAGTCTAAGGATTCAAAGAGAACGTGAGTCTGATGGTGGAGATCGGTGCAGGCAGGTAAGGAGCAGAGCGATAATTCAGCAAGGAACGGAGATCCTGCAGCTCCTGATATTCCCGAGTCTCCTGGGCGATTAAGCCCAGGTGTGCAGGCAGAACCGAGCCAGTGAAGCTCTGCAGCAAAGTTCCTGATCAGAATCTTGAGTTGTTGAGTTTTCATTAGATCAGTCTTGTTTCTGTTTTATCTGAGTTCGCTCCAGTCTTAGTTATTTTATTCCTATTATGTGTTTTGCTATACATATTTCTTGTACTTAGGTTTTTGTTTGTGATTTCCCAGAAACCCTGCTTATGTTTACTCCTCCACACTCATTTTTATTTCTCTCTCTCTCTGTCCGTAATTCCAGCATTCAAACTCCCAGTATGAAGTCACTTCGCCTTCACTTGCTTGATTTTCCAGTCATACCCTGTTTACTTGCATGTACATGGTCTCTGTTTGTTGCTCTGAAAAGTGTCAACGTCCCTGTTTTGTTCAGAGTTTTTTGTAAATTATTTTCATTTTTTCATTAAATAGTCCACATTCACTCGCCGTCTCGACCTGTTTGTGTTTCACATTGTGACAGCTTGACTCCTGTTCTCTAAATATGCACCAGTGACGTCAGAACAATCTCAAAAGAAAATTACATTTTTGGCATAAGGATCTCAGAGAGCAGACGTTCACTTAAAAAACAAACATTATTATAGGCTAAAGCAGGTTAGGGTGAAAGAACAGTGAACAAAAATGGGAGGGGAATTTAAAGGTTATGTTCTTGGTAAAATCCTGAAAGGAGTCGAAAAAAAAAACCCACAGTTTTACTTTCGCACATTTTATATATCGACAGGTATGTCGATTTTTCTGTGTTTGTCTTCTTCTAGTTGCAAAATGATATTACAGATTCAATCTTTAGTCACTTCTAATTTTTTGGCAATCTTTTTGTTGTATAATTATAAAAAAAAAACTTATATGTTTATAAATTTCTTCTGTGTGTTTAAATTTCTCTAGCATTGTCTGTGTATGAATTGGGGCTGCAGAGCAAACAGAAACCCAAACTACAATTTCTCAGAAAATGACATCAAACAAATCAAAAGGATTGTAATAAAGTAACATAGAATAGAACATAAATATGTTTCAGTGCAATGGCAGCAAAGTGACAGATGCATCAAGTTAAATCATACATTCATCAAAGACCAATGTTTTATGACAAGCCAGTGATAGAAACACGAGCAACATTTGCATGTTGCCACAGGCAACTGCGGCGAAATAAACTCCAAGGTTGTTTTTCAACCTCAATCTAAACCTGGAGAGTCTGAAAGAAAATCGGAAGAAATGAACCTCAGCTTCAGTGAGAAATTCTCGCAATCGGTGACGATTTGCTGCTGCTGGTCCAACATCATCAAAGCCATCCACCAAAATATTTTGGAGGACTTTGCGCTTCCCTCTTCTGACAAGCTTTTATGGAGACATTTATTGAGAGGTATTTTCTCAGCCTTCATAAAAAGAGAACCACGGACAACGTTCATTAGTTTCTCTATCAAGCCTTTTGCAAAAGGGGAAGACATAGAGAACTGCTTCTTCGAAGAGCTCGCCATGCGTTCTGGCTCTGCTTCAGCGCTTGCCTTTTTTATGAACACAAAGCCAATCAGGAGTGAAAAGAATGTGGGGGGTAATAAATCCAAGAAGGGGGCCATTCTGATAACACAGGAACTGATATCCTACACACAGGAAGTTTCACAAGGAGACAGGGCAACAGCTGCAAGGTTAAGAAAAAGCCAGTTTTGTCTTTCACATGGTTCAACAAATTCACTAAACCTTTAAAGAAAAACAAAGTAGTAAAACTACTAATGTAAGAATGATAAAAATACTGACTAATTCTATCATTTATCAGGTTTTTGTTTGTTTTTTTGTTGTTGTTTTTTAGGACGTCATTGAAAGTACCAGTAACTGTTTCACTGAACATTGGATTACTGTGCTGGATGGGTCAGCAAACTCACTTGACCGAATCCTCATCGAGAACCAATGGATCTTTGTGAGAAGAATGAGAGACACTGTAATCAACAACTGACCTATTATTGACGCAGTAATTCATTTAAAAAACAACAAAGCCCCGGCAAATCATTGAGTACTGAATAGTAGCTGCTTATGCTTCTCAGTTGGGCTGCAATTCTGTATTAAAACACCTGGTTTTGTGTTTAAAAAAAAAAAAAAAACTCTTACTGATATCAAAACCTCATTTACACGAGTGTCCAGGGCTTGGCCAGCAGCAGATTGGGATATTTATTTTTAATTGTCTCGTGTAATAGTCAAATTATCAAAATAATCAGAACTGTGAAAAATAAATGTGTTAAAAGCTTATCTCTTACTGTGCAATGACTCAATCCAATAAATGAGTTTTACCTCAGGAAATTATTTTGAGAAATCAATTAACTTTCCAGCAACGCTCCAATTTCAGATGCGTCTTGGAAACCACATAAAGCTGGAACAGGAGGAGCTAAGATCAGATATTACACCTTGCATAAGATTCATGTGCTGCAAGCATGGTCTCTTTTTTGGCAAGTGCATTAGCTTTTATCACTCCACCCTGTCCTCATGAAATGGCTTGTTTTTCTTTTATTGTTACAAAGGGGAACACAAGCGACTGTAAATCTGTGCCCTGAAAGCTGGGAGAAAAGAATCATTCTGCATTGTAGAGAAATGTCAGACTTCTCACCAGCACTCCAGTTTTTATTACATCTCGCGCATTCTGGTGTGATCTTTCGGTGCAGAATCCCATTTGAATACGAAAATTGGATACACTTAAAATAAGAAAAAAAAAATGCATTGTTATACTAGAAAAGTAGCTGATCGCTGATGTCTTGTATTGCAGAAGGATGAAAAGAGGCTGTCAAAAAACAAAAAAAAAAAAAGAAATGAGGAAAGAAAAAAAGCAGAGAGGAAACACAATTTCTGGATGGTGCTGAGTGGTTTCAAGTGTCACAGCCAGAGGAGCAGTGGGTGGTGCAGCTGTGCTCAGATCCGGACTAATGGTGGCCGTCACTGCCGTTTACCACATCCATCAGAGAGGGGGACATTTTTGCTTTTGTTCCTATTGATGCTGTTTCACATTGTCTGAAGATTCATTGATTTAAATTAAATGTGTAGTAATTATATGAGAGGAACACATTGTATGAGAATGAATTCAATTAAAAAAAAATCCCCCTGGTTTGAGATTACTGTTAAAGCAGCAGAAAAATATAAAGTCACCATACACATTACTGATTGATTACATTGGGGTAGAAGATCCAAGTGAGAAAAAGCTCTTTTAGTGTATTTATGTAGTCATGCAAAAAGTAGCTCATCAAATAAAATCACATTTGACTTTGAAGTTGGGGTTGATGTCCAGTTCAAAAGCATTCTTTTCACTTACTTGCACACACACACACACACACACACACACACACACACACACACACACACACACACACACACACACACACACACACACACACACACACGCACACACACAAAACCCACATGTGATCCCAGAAGGGAGGGAAGCTGCGCGTCCTGTGAGGCGCTCAGCGCGTTTGGAGCTGAGCGCAGTTACTGGCCAGATCAGTAACAGCTGGTTCATGTGCCATCTGTTGCTCCAGTAGTCATCCTCGCTCATACTTTTTTGTTCTTGTTTTGTTTTGTTTGTTTTTATTTATACAAAATCTGACGCGGATTGGCGCCACTCGCGGGAAACTTGAGCAATTCAAGCTTTACGCACAGGTTCCGGAGAGCAGACGGCACCTAAAAGATGAATGAAACGGACCTGATCTGCGCAAACCAAACATCGTCCAACTTTAGCGACCTGCCATGTCCGACTGCAACCGCCGCGCCGTACAGTCCCATCGACATCACCTCCTTCATGCACATTTTCCCCTCCATCTACGGCATCCTGTGCTCCGTCGGAGTCATCGCCAACGCGCTGGTGATCTACGCGGTCGCGGCGTGCAAGAAGAAGATGGTCTCGGACATCTACGTGCTCAACCTGGCCGTCGCCGACATGCTGTTCCTGCTGGTGATGCCCTTCAACATCCACCAGCTGGTCAGGGACAGGCAGTGGGTCTTCGGAAACTTTATGTGCAAGGCGGTGGTGGTGGTGGATGTGAGCAACCAGTTCACCACGGTGGGGATAGTGACGGTGCTGTGCATTGACCGGTAAGTGACGACTTCAGTCTCAGTGCGTCGGCTTGGTTAAAAATGTGCCAGACAAACAACAACAGGCTGCAATGCAAATAGATAAATAAAGTTATGCCATTGCTAAAAGTTTCATGAATTACTCAAATTGTCCAACCGTTTATTCAAAACCTACCAACTCAACTACATTGGTTCACTTCTTATTATTAAAATGATTCTTTTTTTTCTGTCCAAACCAGTAAAAACAAACAAAAAACAAACAAAAAAGCAGATGAATTGGTTTGAGACCGAAGTGAAACATCTGTAATAAATGTTTGTGTTGTTTCTATAACCTTTTCCATTGCAACCACAGCTTAAATGTGACATTCTATAGCAAAGACGTGTTCAGGATAAAGCTTGTTGGCAGACTTGACTTTAGGAGTTATACTTTTTCTAACTAAAGCTTTGTTCAAACATTAAGTCTCACTCCAACACAGAGGCTCTCTGAATCACGAGTCGTACGACAGCTTTCAGTTTCATACGTAAATGTATTCGCAATACAACTCATATGGTGCTTTACAGGTTTTTCTTTTAGCTGTTTTGCTTCCATGTTGCAGATCATCAGAGTAAATTTAATATCAGGCAAAATTATGTAGATAGCGTAAATGCAGTTTTCTAATTTATTAAGGGATAAGGCACAAAATAATGGGAGTCTTTTTGTTGAGGGTTTTGGGTTCTCTCTTCTTGGCAGATTTACTTCAGTTCAGCCATGTTGGAGAAGTCCAGCCTTCATCTGCTTTAGATGCCATTTTAAACCAGTGACCTCTTCAATCAGTCACTGTTATAAGTTTTGGGAATCATGACTCTTAGTGTGGTTTGCTGGACGTGTCATCAATTGAAAACTGGTGTTGTGTGTCGGAATGCAAATCAAAATGCAGCATTAAACATCTGACAGTGAACATTATCTTTCCAAATTGACATCTTGTTATTAAAACTAGAATAGCTTTTATAGCTAATATCCTGTAGGCTCTATAGTAGATTTTTTAAAACTGCATACATGAGTGGATGTCGCTGAAGATTCGTGTTTTTTTTTTTTTGTTGCTTTTCTTTTTTTCAAAATAGTACTGCAAGACTGTTATGTAACACACAATGGCAACACAGTGTTCTCTAAATAAATAATCCAGGTTCCATGTTTACCATCTGAGGACATCAGGAACAATTATATTGGTCATTCTGAACTGATAAGGACAAATTCACAGGAACACCTGGAGCAGGGGTTGGCCTCAGAGCACGAATGCTGCACTATACAGATTTCCAGAGGGTCATTATCCAGCAAATTGTGTCTTGTGCAAGGACCTGCTCAGAAAGTAACTCTTATACTTTGTTTTCATGATTTCATGAAATCATGAAAACAAAAATCCATCCATCTTGAAAGCTATCATTTTTTTAGACGCACAGACATGGAAAGTCTCTTAAAATCGCCAAGCACTTCTCTAACCTTAACAACATCGCCTTTAGACAAAGATGTTATGAGCAGCAGTTTGACGGAAGAAAGTCATCGTCACCTGGTTTGAAGTGGAGGACGACTTTGAAGTGCAAAATTAAATCGGCTTTCGATACAAAATGAGGAAAATAAAATTGCTCCGACTTGTAAAGCCTCGTAAAACCAGCATTTTAAAGTGAGCCTAAAATGCTCATGTTCATGTCTTGTCTTTGTACATGTTTTCTCACTGGATATTATAAATTTAAACACTTTAAATTGCATATTTGGCTTGGTTATTTAACAACATCTAAATATTGATAAGATGTTTTAGAAAGAAAATTCTGCTAGATAAGACATTCAATCAATCACTTTATTTTGGTAAATTGTCCACATCAAACACAAGAAACGACAAAGAAAAAAAACAACAACAAACCCGTCATTACTTATCCTTCAATTCAGTCCAAGTTGTCAAAATGAGTTTTATTTGTTTAACCTGGTTCTAACCTGAATCATGTCAGTGGATCTCTGCCGTGTTAAAACCTAAACTGATATTTAATTGTTTTAAAGTTTTTATATTTTTTATTTGACCATCATTGAACTAGAAATAAATACATTTCAGACTGAGCTTTTAGTTTCTCTTCATTATTACGCTTCCTTGGATAGTTCTGTGGGCTAAACAAAACATTTTCATCATATTTTATGAAAAAAATAATCGTCAGACAATGAGACTTTCCCTGATCAGTTTTGCCTATTTTTAGCTTTCAGAGTGAGCCGTATTTAGGGCCTCTTGTCACTTTAAATCTGAAAAGTTGGTGTGGCCCAACTAAACCTTGCAGCACAGAGATGCACCTTTATATAACCATGCACCTTTGACCTTTAGTCAGACCTAGGAGCAGAAGAAGTAGAGCCTTTTGCACAACCATAAAGGATGCAACAGCAAAACATCCGTCTTTTCCAGCAGCCATTGTTCAACTGAGGTTGGTAGTAAATGGGGCGCTGCCACCCAATTGTGACTTAAAAAGTTGGGAGTTTTTGAAATGGTTAGTTTTCAAATCACCAAAAGAAACATGAACATGTTGCCAGAAAAAGGCTTGGTGGTTATTTTTTAAAGCACTCGGATTGTTTAGAAGGTGTAGCGACCCGAACGGAAGTCGTGCAAAAAATGAGTTTATCGCAACAGGCCTTCTTTCAAGCACATAGTCATTTTCCTTTTCATCCTTTAGAATCTTCTTAGCTATTAAAGCTTCAGCTGAGTGTCATTTAGAAAATTGCAAAATTGTTGTCATAGAAAAGCTTAACAAAGACGAAAACACAATACTGAAAGGTGGATGGATGTATATAATTTACTGCACTTGCTCTTTCTCTTGCATGGTTTTCCAGCTCTCTGCTTTTATTGCCAAGAGCTGGAAGAATCTAATCTTATTATAAATCTGCAAGCACTTCCTAATATATATCTTTTCATAAAGACAGAGAAACGAAATTTTAATGCAGTGCAGTTTGTCTCATCCTGATTTGTCTCCAGCCTGAGAATCCTTGTCATGGACTGGAAAAAATCATCTTGAGTCTCTATTTCACGGTATAAATATCTTAATCTCTTTTCCTCTCAGGTATATCGCCATTGTGCATCCCAGCTCAGAGCGGCGGACCGTGCAGTGGACCATCGTAATCAACTTGCTGGTGTGGCTGGGCAGCGTCCTCCTCACCGTGCCCGTCATGATCTACGCCAAGGTGGTCAGCAGGGAGCACATGCAGGTGTGCATGATGAACCTGGAAGGGCCGCGGGACATGTACTGGTACACGCTCTACCAGTCCATCCTGGGCTTCATCATTCCGCTCATCATCATCAGCACTTTCTACTCGCTCACCCTCTACCACGTGTTCAGCTCCATCCGCCGGGTCAAGCGCAAGCAGTCGGTGTGGGCCAAGAGGGCCACCAAAATGGTGCTGATGGTCATCGCCTTGTTCCTGATCTGCTGGTCGCCCTACCACGTCATCCAGGTGATCAACCTGAGCAACAACCGGCCCACCATCGCCTTCGTCTACGCGTACAACATCAGCATCTGCCTCAGCTACTCGCACAGTTGCATCAACCCGCTCATGCTGCTCATCTTCGCTCAGAACTACCGCGAGCGCCTGTGTCGGCGGAACGCGCTGCACAGCTCACAGCACTCCTCCAAGGTCACCGTGGTCAAAACCGACGGCTCCAGCACGGCAAACGACCCCAACTACCGCATCACGGTCATCTAGTCAGCGTCATCTATACCGTGTAACAAATTGGTGGTGGACATCTTTTGTTTTAGAATTGTAAATGGATTTGTTATTACACAGAAGAAGAAGAAGAAGAAGAAGAAGAAGAAAACCCTGAAGCAGCAGCATCAAATCCAGCCTTAATAAAATAAACTTTAAATAAAAGGCACTGCCATTTTTTTTGAAAGAGGTCACACAATCCTCATAATTCCAGCAGCTCCAAGGTCTTTTCACCACACGCTGCGCCTTCTGGCTCATGAGGGACTGAACTCCACGGCGCAGCTCCACTGGTCCTTTCACCAGTACCTACCGTGGCGCCTTCTGGCTGAACACACATGATCTGCTGTAAGTAATCCAATCAAGAAGTCACTGTAAGGGCTCATGATTTGTAACCAGCGGCCTCAATAATCCACAGTTTACTGATACAGATAAGAGATGTTCTGGTTTGAAACTGAGCAGCCGTAAAGCTTTCTGCGCCACTCGCCGCGGTTTTAAAACTTTGTCGCTCAGAACGAAGGACGCGTTTTATGGAGATAACTTGTAAATTCAATTTACCGTGTCGCGATGGGTTCGTTTAACAGTGGTCCAAGCCTGTGAGAGCTCGTTCTCGTTTCTTTTTTAGGTCCTTTAATTGTGAATAAAGCCCACATACAATAATAAAATATAGTTTATTATTGGAAAAAACACAAATACAGAAAAATAATATGTAGTTGCCTCTGGCTATGTTTTCTCAGCATATCAGAGAGGATCTCTGAAGGATTTGAGTGTCGCATTTATAAAGTGCTTACTAATGGGGAAAGTACTGTATTTATAGCCTGTTGTTACTACTGGTCCTGTTTTAATGAACTGTGTTTGTAAGAAATGTTGTAATTAAAGAAACATACAACATTTATTTATGATGAGTGCAGAATCACACAATGTTCAGCCCACTCCTGTCAGTTTCTGATGTCAAATATTGAACGCTGTACCAGGAAACTCCTCTCAGGGACTGCTTTACGAAGGTTATAAAAAGCAGTTATTATCGTGGTTAAGTGTCCTCTGACTGCTTACGGCACAACATTCTGATGCTGTATTGAAATGTTTGAGCCACATGCCTCAGGAGAGACGAATCTACATGTGACTTCAGGAGATGAAGTCTTGCAAAAGTATTCACCTCCTTTGAGCCGTTTCACATTTTGTCAGCTCAGACTTTATCGTGTTTTGTTGAGATTTTGTGGGACAGACCGTCACAACGAGGCGCAGCGAAAATAAGGATGCGTGTTTTGCAAATCGTACGATGTTGCGTCTTCTTAATTTCAGCTTCCCAGAGTTGACACTGCTTTTCACCCCCGCAGCATGATACTGCCCCCGCCGTTTGTCACTGAGGGGATGGTGCGTTCAGTGTTAGTTTCTATCACACAGTTTTGCATTGGGCCAAAAAGATCAATTTTGCTGCGACATCGTTTTCAGGAAAAAACTGCAAATAGGAGTTTTTAAAATATTCATGCAGTTCCATATGCAGGTTTAAAGTCCTAGTAAAGTGCTTTACTGTGACAAAATGTGTGAATACTTTTACAAGGCACTACATGAACACTTTGACATGTTGGTTAAATATATGTATAGTTGAAGCAGGTGTTTGCATTGGTAATTTATTGTATCATTGTGTTTTTTTCTGTATCTTACTTGTTTTGTAGTATTTCTGTGACTACAAAACTATTTTCATAAAGAATTCATCAAACAACCAGTGATATTTCATAGATAAACACTGTAAGGGACTGATATAATTTTTGCATCATTGTTCGTTGAGATGGAGAAGAAAATGTGAGACAAAATGTCAGATAAAGTAAAGATGTACTTTTTCTCTTAAATATGACTAGATGTTAAAATAAAGTATGACAAATGGGTCAAGAACAAGTTTATAAATGCTTAAGGACTGTTTTATTATTGTATAAGAAAATAGAGCATAATGCTAGGAGCAATGAAAAGCGTTGATAATGTTTTCAAAAGTTTCTCCTGAATATAAAACATCGACTGATCAGCTCCAAGTGGTCTCCAGTCATTCTGATTAATCGTTTGAAAACGAATTATTACTTAGTTTATGACTTTGTTTTTTGGATTTACTCAAGTTAAATTGAAGCAAGTTGTCAACGTGGAGTAACAAACTCAGACTAAAAAGTTGTTTATGAAACCAAACCTGTTCCTGCGTCATTCCTCTCTTCTGTTTTTCCTGGTTTAGGGCTCTTGTTATCGTCTTGTAAAGGGTCTTAATGTTTGTTGTGGCACTCGAGCACTAAGTGTGATGTACTGTGACCCAGATTGCTTCTCCAGATGTTTCCCCAGAAGTGCTTTGTTTTGCCTGTGAGAGTCCTTCCTTGTGCTTCAATCAAGGCTTAGTAAGATCTGTGGAAATTTGTAGTTATTGAAAATGTGACTTGTATTTAATTTTTTTGTTTTTGTTACCTCCCATCATTAAATAAACATTGAAAATAGAAAAGATGTCTGACAAAAGGTGGTTTCCATTATTTGAATGGACCCAACCCGAGGTGTAAGTGACCTCCAGGCCAACAGGGGGCTCCCCAGAGTTTGTTGCTTCTCATGCACAATCCAGAGCTCAAAAGCTGAATATCTGCTGTGAGGATTATAAAAAAAGTGAGAGTAATTTTACACTGTAATTAGTCATCCTGTTTCAGAATGTTACATTTCACATTAGTTAAAATTCTTAACTCATACACTGAAACAAAAATACAAAATGTCTTCATATTTTGATCATAAGACTGTATAAATATATAAATGTCAACCAAAGTCTGCTCAGTTCATCCAATCTTGAATTAACTCTGATATTATGTTACAGTCTTTTCCCAAAATTTTATCAAATTAATCTGTTTTTTCAGAGACACCCATTATGTCAAATCTTTGTTGACTGATTAAAAATAGAAAACAAAGAAATCACATTTACATGAGGTTTCACAAAAATGCTTAGATCGAAAATTTTAACACAAAAAAAAATATATATATATATATATGCATGATATATATATTCATCAATGAAACAAGTAAAACAAATATATATATATATATATATATATATATATATATATATATATATATATATATATATATATATATATATATATATATATATATAGTTTGCTGTGGTTTTCAATGCTCACAAATGACAAACCTGAGGTCTGCATTTGTACCTTCCCAGCATCCCAAGGCTGACTGTGGTTTTAATTTAATAGATTAAATGTTGTTACTTCATAACCGGGGTTGGTGTATTCCAGATTCATCTTCAACCACACCACATAAAAGCAGCGGACTTTGCTCCGTAGTGTTTTTCTCAAGCTCCTTTTCTTTTTCGTGCCACCAGCAGCAGACTGTGGTGAATGGGAAGGGAGGTTGTATAAGGGGACTAATATAATAACAAGAACCCCTGTCAGTTGTAGTGTTGCTGAAAGCCTCTTCACTTAGCAAGGGCATAACATTCGTTTCATCTTACGGCACACAAACCGTCGCCTCGAGTGACCTTGGATGAGAGCACATCCTTGTTTTTTAGACGGATTCTCTGGTGAGGAGCTTCAGACCGACGCCGCCAAAGGTTTCACACTCTGACTCATCGTCTGGAGGATTTTATAACATTTTTATGATTTAGGTTTGTAGAATTACTGGTTTGTGGTGCACTGCTGATGAGAATTGTTTTAAAAGCCAGAGTGGTAATTTATTAAAATAATGTTTGCGTTTTATAGTTGAAATAAAGCCCTTATCTGCAGAAAATACGATTCTGCTTTTGCAGAGAAAACAAAGAAAATTGTTCTGACTTGTTTCATTGATGAATATAAAAGGACCCAAAAAGGGTTTTATTGTCAGAGCCAGAAATCCTGGTGCTTCACATCTAGTTGCTCCGCTGACCTGGAAGTGCCATCAAACTTCTTATCCAAATCCTAAATATGAAAGGTCATTAAACTTCTTGAAATGTCAGACTTCCTTTGTTCTTCTTTTTTTAAGTCTTGCCCGCATATAATGAGGCATTCAATTTAATTAAGTTGACAGGAAAGGATGAGCGGGACACAATTATCATTCAGGAAAGACAAACACAATTAAAGACAAGCAGCAAATCTGAAAAAGATCTTTAATTTAAATAGAAGCTCATGGAGTTTCTACATTAGCTCAGAAAATAAAGTGTAATAATTGAATCAGTAGAGTAAACAGTGTTGATGGTTTGGGGCCTACACTCCTGAGGAAAACACGCTCTTAACTGTCTAATAAAAGCCGAACGCATAGGGAAATTTTTGCCCCTCCTATGATTGTTTTGTACAAATTAACTCAATGATCTGAAAAAAATAACTTTCTCACTCTGTTTGGGTTTAGAGCCACTCCCCCAGATTCTTATGAGAGTGAAGAAATCTCTGACCTCCACCAGCTGTGCTGCAGCAAAATCACATTCCAGGTGTAACTCAATAAACCCAACAGCAGTCCTTTCATTCCAGGGACAAACAGTGGGATCTCATGATTTCCTCCACGGTTCTTCTCCTTCACCGCTTACAGTCAACAGATGGTGACGGGATCTGAATGACGTGTGTCTCAGGAGTGGACGGCAGCTGAAGAAGTGCCATGAAATAATGAAAGTCGTTCCATACACATGTAAGAAAATGTCTGCATGTCTGCTACTCGTGTGTCTCCGACATCAAGTAGTGTGTTATAGTGAAGCGGGTAAATGGTTTTCAGACTATGTAACAAAAATAAATGTAAATTATTTTGTAGCTTCCTGATCTCTCAGAGTCTAAATCATGCAGTTTGTGTATGGGAGATGTGAATGTATGTTCTCGAGCGAGGAAGTAGCTGAATGAGAACCTAGATTTACTTTGCCAACACACAGAGGAGCATCAGAGCGGGCCAGGGCAGGAACTGCTGGAGGGAGAACTGCTGCAGCAACTCAGTAAATAAATAAATAGATGAATTCACTTGTCTGTTTTCTTTTCAGAATATTTTGGAGGGTGACTGAGAGTCAACGCTAACCTTTCTGTCTGTTTAGAATAGAGTGAGCTGTGTGTCAGTCCAAGCTAAAGTTTGAAAATCTTGGTTTTCTTATTCAACTGTGGAGTTGGATTCAGTCTGTGTTTTCCATCTT